AGGATTAAAGCGATTTAGCGCCTGATTGTTAAATATTGATTTGCTAATAATCTTATTTTTATTTTATATAAAAATAAGATTATTAGCGTTTATTAGTTAAAATGCATTCAAAGAACAGCTTCAAGAATGCATTTTTCTTTATAACAAGCCAATTCGACATAAGAATTATTAATTCTTATGTCGAATTGAGGTTAAAATTAAGGATAAAAAATATGACGAAAATTGTTGGTAAGATTGTGCAGATTATTTCGGCTGTGGTTGATGTGCAGTTTAGTGGTAATGGTAATTTACCGAAAATTCTTAATGCTCTTGAGTGTGATAATAAAGGAGAGAAAGTAGTATTGGAAGTAGCGCAGCATATAGGGGATGATATTGCTAGATGTATAGCCATGAGTCCAACAGAAGGGTTGTTAAGAGGACAAGAAGTGGTAGATACGGGTAGTACTATCAATGTGCCTGTAGGTACTGAAACTCTTGGACGTATAATGAATGTAATTGGTAAGCCTATTGATGAAAATGGTCCAATTAATTCAACTAATTTTGCTTCAATTTATAGATCAGCTCCAAATTTTGTAGATCAATCAACTGAACAAAATATTTTAGTTACTGGCATTAAGGTTATTGATCTGTTAGCTCCTTATTCAAAAGGAGGGAAAATAGGGTTATTTGGTGGTGCTGGGGTAGGTAAAACCGTGTTAATTATGGAGCTTATTAACAATATAGCTAAGGCCCATGGGGGATATACGGTTTTTGCTGGAGTTGGAGAAAGAACTAGAGAAGGTAACGACCTTTATCATGAAATGATTGCCTCTGGAGTAATTGATCTAGCAACGCCAGAGAAGTCTAAAGTAGCTCTTGTTTATGGGCAAATGAATGAACCCCCTGGAGCAAGAGCTAGAGTTGCGTTAACTGGTCTTACTATAGCTGAAAGTTTTAGAGATTTGGATGGTGGGCAGGATGTGTTATTTTTCGTTGATAACATTTTTCGTTTTACTCAAGCTGGGTCTGAAGTATCCGCCCTTTTAGGTAGGATACCTTCAGCTGTTGGGTATCAACCAACATTAGCAACTGATATGGGTGAATTGCAAGAGCGTATTACTTCAACAA